TTGGGTCGTGGAATACGTCTGCAGTCGTGAACATGTCATTTATGTTTAACGAAGCCAGCTCCTTTGATCAGGCCATCGGTGCTTGGAACACTGGCTTTGTCAAAGACATGAAGAATATGTTTTCGGATGCGTGGACCTTCAATCAACCAATCGGGTCGTGGAAGACCTCGGCAGTGAAGAACATGCGACAAATGTTCTGGGGGGCCTTCTCGTTTGATCAGCCCATCGGTGCTTGGGACACGGGCAATGTCCGAGACATGAATTCCATGTTCTACAATGCTGCGAAGTTCAACCAACCCATCGGGTCATGGAATACGTCTGCTGTCACCGACATGTCCTGGTTGTTTCACGGAGCCAGATCGTTTGATCAGCCCATCGGTGCTTGGGAGACTGGCAAAGTCCGAGACATGAAGGACATGTTCAAGAAAGCCGCGAAGTTCAACGAACCCATCGGGTCATGGAATACGTCCGCTGTGATGGACATGTCCTCGATGTTCGCAGGAGCGGACTCTTTCAACCAGCCCATTGGTGGATGGGACACTTCGCGGGTACATGACATGAACTACATGTTTGAATTAGCTGTCGCCTTCGACCAGCCGCTGAATCATTGGGACACCAAGGCTGTGACTGACTTCTCTGGGATGTTTTTCCGCGCCAGCTCCTTCAACCAGCCAGTTGGATTGTGGGACACATCGGCAGCGACAGATATGAGAGACGTGTTTGCAGGGGCCCAAAGTTTCGATCAGTCTGTCTCAACATGGAACTTGAGATCCATTCCCGATGCCCAAGCTATGGCCGAAGCTTTCACGGGTTCAGGCATGTCAACTTGCGTGTTGCGTTTCAGTTCCGAAGCTTGGGGTTTGCCTCCCAGCATTCGTCAGACTTGGTCAGACCAACTCTGTCCCAGCTGCCCTTGTCAAAAGACCAACTTGGCATGTGTGGATGAAGCCTGTCGACCAGTGAACTCCGGCTTCATCGAGCTTGGGAGAGGTGCTTGGGATGATCGAAACGCAAGTCTTACAACTGCTGTGGGCTTTCGAGCATGTGTCCAAAGATGCGAAGACTCCGAATGTGGTGCTTTCCTTCTGGAAGACTCTGGGCGCTGCTGGCTGATGGACGACCAAAATGGGCTCAGCTTGGATTCTGGAGGACGGCAGAAGGAATTGGTAGCCTTTTCACGTCATGACAATGTCATATCTAGGTCTAAACAGTATGCTCATGCCTTTTTCACAGGTTAATGACCCAAAAAGTTCACCCCACCCCACCCCACCGCCCACATCTCCTGGAGGATCGGGTCCAAGCTACTTGGCGTTTCGCAGGGCCTCGTGCCGCACCTTCTCGTGCCCCGTGGGAACGACGCTGGCGACGACGAGTCGCAACGCCTCAGCCGCGACGGCGACGGTGACGGCGGCCTCCTGTTGCAGGTGCGCTGCTCCCAATGAGGTTCCCATTCGGAGCAAGGAACCTGTCGCTTGGAGCTGCCAAAGTGTGCAAAAATCTCGTGGTGCTTCTGCTCCCTGTTTGTATATGTTTGTTCGACTTTGTTCGATTTAGTAAGATTCCACGGGTTCCGTGATCATCAAGAGAGATCCGCCAGTTTTCTGAGATCTTTGCACAAGCTCAAGCCCTGTGGCATGTCCCCGGAAAGGGGGAATTGATACGTCAAGACATATACAGTATTCATTTTCTCTATTCTTCTCTTCTTCACCGAAAGGCGAGGGTCTTTTCTTTGAAGAGCAGGAACGAGAAAACATTTGGGCCAGTTCCCCAAAGACTTTGGGCGATGCAACGACTGGGCAATGATTCTAATACTTCGATCTCTGTTTTTTTGAAAAAAGGTTAGTTCTTTAAGTTTTTCAATCTGCCAAATGCACCAGAGAATCCCCCACACTGGCATTCAGCCACTGGGCCACGCGAAGCTGCTGTAAAGGCCTTCTGAAAAGTTTAAAAGGGTAGCATTTCTCGGGCAGAAAATCGAGACGTAAACCACCAGCTGAGGATTTGGAATGCCTGCGCTGTCCAGCAGGAAGTGCTCCCAAGGATGACCGTTGCGAAGCATGCGCCTCAGGCGAACGACACGCGGCGCGAACACAGTCCGATTGAGTTGGCGGCTTCAGCGAGTTGGAGGAGGTTTCGGCGCGTTTAGCGGGGGAATTCCCAACACCCTGGAACCACTGTCATAGCTCAGCTCAGCATCCGAAGTCGACTTGTGGTCCAATGTCACCAAGAAACAGGCATGTCATGTATGCGTCATGCTGGGTACAGACTTGTTCTACAGCAATTCTATACTACTCGGATCCCAAATCCTGGATCAATCCCGCAAGGAGTTCCTGAACTTCGCCCCTCCTCCCCCTCACGCGACCCGACGGGTGGACCGGTCAGGCTTTGCCCAAGCTGGTGCTGTGCGATGTGAAGATTGCCCACCT